GTCTGGCTGGTTCTGGCATATCCTGGGGGCAGAGCACAGAGCGTCTGGGCTGGGAAGAGGCTGACCCCACAGTATCGCTCATGGAAGGGGCAGCAGGGGTGGGTTTCTAGGCCGCTCAGGCCGAGACCAGAAGCACCAGCCAGTGCCTGACTACCCCTGCTGAGGGCTCTGAGAAGGATCACATTACAACAGGAAGTCCTGGGTAAAGTGAGACGAAAATGTGGAAAAGAATTCAAAAATCCCGTGATAAGAGTTGTGTGAGCCCCCAATAAAATGATCTTTAAAAATTCAAAAATCCTTAAAACAAAACAAAAACAAAAGGCTCTTCCAGGTGTGGTGGGGACCAGTAGACACCAGGCACTGTGGCCTTAGACAACCTTATACCAGGAGCAGGACTCACCCCCAAGGCTGACCGTCAGCCACATGGCAATAAGGTCCATGGTCAAACTCAGGAAGGCAGACAGACCCTCCTGAGAACACTGCACCATGGGGGTGCAATTGTTCCCCAGACTTTTGCCCAAATCAACAACAACAAAGCAATTTAAAAACAAAACATAACTTGGCCCAAGGATAAAGGTTGTAATTCCACTGGCAGGAATCCTCTAGAACAGGCACATTCAGAAACAGGCAGCAGATCAAAGGCTAACACCAGGGGCTGAAGAGTGGGGCTAAAGGGAGGCAAGAGTTTCTATTTGGGGAGAATGAAAAGTTTGGGGTAGTTTCTGAGAACCAGCGGAATATCCTGAGCAGAACACTAAAACCCCACCCTGGGCCCCAGGCAACACATTAACGAGCCGCTCTGGCAGACACTGTTACCTTTATGAGCTTGTAACAATCAGGAAAGCTGGCCCCAGCCGCCCTGGCCTCCTGGCAGGGTGTGGGAAGGGTGGGTGGAGTGCAGAAGGGCCCCAGACACTCTATGGCCACAGGAGGGCACCCGTGTGGGCCAGACACTTCCTCTAGGGGGCAAACCGATGCCTTGAAAGCAACAGTCCTGCTCCGGGGAGGGGGTCCCCACTGGGGCTCAAAGGGAGACTAAGTAGGCCAGGTCAGGCCAACCCGGGAGCCTGGGCACCCCAGGAAGCAGCAACCAGTTTGGCTTATGGCCAGCCAGCCTGAGAACCCGCTCTTTCTGCTGGGCTCTCGCCCCTCCCTCAGTTTGAACCGGGGCCTGTGGACGCGCTGCTCTGTCGCCTGTAGAAACGGGACTCACCTCTTCCTTATATCTTCAGCACACTCCTCGCACGGGTAAAACTTAGCGAATAAATGGATGAACTGGGCCATGTCCTGCTGCTGCTCGGGGGTGGGCACGTCGGGATAGTAGGCGGCCAGGGTGTGCAGGACACCCCAGCTGTGGCGCCCCAGCTCCTCTCGATCCTGAGGGCAATCCTCCCTAAACTTGCTCTCTCGCTGCCGAAGGAAGCCAAGAGTCAGTTCGGTCTCCCCAAGCCGTTCCCCGCCCCACCCGAGGCCCGCTGCCTCGGGACACACGTTCAGCCGCCGAGAGGCTGAGAAAGCGGTGCCAGGCCGACCTGGGGAGGTCAAAGTTTGGGGGCAGCAGCCAGCCGAGGCTGGGGCAGGAAAAGGCCCCGCGGCCCGTCGGACGGTGCGGTCTGCGCTCTGCACCGGAGGACGAAGTGAGGGGGCTCAGGAGGGCGGCGAGGGACCAACGGGCGCCCGTGCACCTTCTGCTGCGTCCGCATCCACGTCTTGAAATCCACGCAGGCCCGGCAGGGTCGCCTCCGGGCGGCGTC